TGCAGAACTCCATAGTTGATCAAGAGGGGCATACTTCGGATCTCCGAACTTTGTCTGCAACAAAAAGGGCTTCCCAGCCGCGATATCTCCAGCTTGACGCAGCTCCTCCTTCGCCGCTCTGATTTTAGAGCGGGCTTCCTTGGCTACTACCATGGCCTTCTCCAGGTCCGTCGCCTTCACTCGGTTTTCTTTTTCAAGAAGCTGGTAATGGTCGGCGGCATCTTTCAACTCAACGGCCATCTTGGCTATTTTTTCCTTGCTTTGGCAATGCGCAGCCTGTTCGGCTCTCAGCTCTTCGACCGCCTTCAGAGCGGCCGCATCACTATTCATGGCTTGTTCCTTAGCTCGGGCAAGTTCCGCCCGAAGGGTCTTCACGACGGCAGCTCCATCTGCAGTCACAACATAGTAAAAATACTAGCATCATGCTCCTCTTACTATGTGTTGATCACCGGAGAAATCACATACCCCGTGCCTCGTCGAGCCGCTTGTTGACAAGCACGATGTCGGCATCTGCCGCATCAAGTTGCCACTTCAGCTCGGCAAACTCACCAGTCCGGCTAGCCACCGGACCTTCAGCCACCTGCACATGAAGGCGACATGATTATTACCTGGGACTATGATCCTCTGTTTGCCACCGATTTCAGCAACCAATGTCTCAGGGGCTACTATCTGCATATGGCACACTTAGCGTCTGCGGTACCATCAAAAACATATACTACTTTGCGTACCTCAAAGCCTCTCAGCAGGCTCATAAAAGCTTCATGCAGCCCGCTTTCGGCGGATGAAATCCTCTCAACCACTGTACCCATTAGCGTACGATGCGCTTCTGAGATAGCCGCTTGCTCCAGAAGATCCTTCAGTGCGTCGGGTCACGCACCGGACGGTCCCGGACTCTTTCTGTTGCTCTCCTTAGGAGCCGAATACTCCGGACTTCAGGTGGTCGAAGAATTACCCTCTGGCTTTGGAGGATCAGGAGAAATCCTCCGTGACGACACCTCAGGGTCGCCCGCCTCATGAGGCGGGGAGGCATGGGGAGGTGTTTCGCTCTCCATCATCCCCGGAAGAAGATCCCCCGAAGACGAACTCTGTCGAGAAGGGCTACGATCCGAACTACAAGATATATGCTTCGGTTATTGTCCTCAGAGGTAAAGCAGGATATTTTTACTATTAAGTACTTCTTGTTTACTTACAGCTCGGTGGAGGGCTGATCCCCTTGCGGACACTGTGCAGCAAGGGTACCCTCCGGGGCAGGACCCTCTGGCGAAGATTTCTTCCCTCGTTTGGAAACCATTGTTTCCAAGTCTTCAGAGGTGGTCCTCTTCCTTCCCTGGGGAGAGGGAATTTCAGATTCTTCTTCCCGGTTACCCTCCTTCGCGGAGGCGCTAATTCCCCCGGTTTGGATGAATAATGAACAAGGCCCACTTTCATCCTCCTTATTCCCCCCTTTATCTTCCCCTGAGGGCGCCTGATAAGGCGCCGGCTCGAGCATTCTGGCCAGTACTGGATCTGCTGAGCCTTCGGGAAGGGGGGCCGAACACCTGATCATGTTTGCCTTTGTTACCCAGTCCTGGCCAAAGAGCGACTTTTCAGAATGATGTTGTGATAAATAAAAAGACAACGTATTCGGCCACGGGATTACTTACTTGGGTATCTGGATGATTGCAGCTCAGACCCGCATCCTCGGTGGTGTCCAGACACCTTACCTGTGGTCCGAAGAACAATTTGTACATCTCTTTGAGCATCATGCTGAGGAAGTGCTGAATGGCTCGCGGTCCTTCCGGGTTGAACTCCCACATACGGAGGGGTCGGCGTTTGCAAGGCAGGACTCGACGAACTAGCATGACTTGCATTACCGTGACCAGGCCGACATCTCTCTCGAGGAGATCTCGGATGCGACTTTGCAATATCGGCACATCATTTACTGGCCTCCAGTCCAGCCCCTTGTTGATCCCTGACGCCAGTTGTGGTGGGGGGCCCGAGCGAAAGGCAGGGGCGGCCACCCACTTGGTACCCCAGGGAGTTGTGATATAAAACCACTCCTGTTGCCATAAACTGGACACCTCCGGGAAGGAACCCTTTGGCCATGGAACATCGACGCCTTTGCTTATTATGGCACCTCCTCACTCTGCGTGTCGCCCCTCAATCATCTTCGGCTTCACATTGAAAGTTTTGAGCCACAGGCCGAAGTGTGGGGTAATGCGGAGGAAGGCCTCACACACGGCGATGAACGACGAGATGTGAAGGATGGAATCCGGGGCCAGGTCATGGAAATCCAGCCCATAATAGAACATGAGCCCTCTGACAAAGGGATCTAGAGCAAGGCCTAGCCCTCGGAGGAAGTGAGAGATGAATACAACACTCTCGCCGGGTTCGGGAGTGGGAATGACCTGCCCCCGAGCAGGCAACCTGTGCGAGATTTCGCCGGTCAAATACCTGGCCTCTCTTAGCTTCTTGATGTCTTCCTCTGTGACAGAGGAAGGTACCCACCGACCTTGAAGGTTGGATCCGGACATGGTTGAAGGTCCGAAGCGCCTGACCTGAGCCTTGGGTGTTGGAACTCGAGGCGGGGGAAGGATTCGATTGAGTGCGAGAGGAAAAAAGGACGGACCTTGGCCTCTTTATAAAGAGGGTGAATATCAAGCATCCTCCTCGTGGCCGTTTGGGACTTGCCTAAAATCGAGGAGTCATACCAACGGGCATGATTGGGTTACCCACATCCCTATTGATGAGAATCCCGTAATAAGGGGGGCACGATCTCTGTTTCGACAAGATGTGCCAATAAAATCGCTTCGCAAGACGTGCGGTGGCAGGCTGATTGAGAAAAACGGTTTGAATAATGATCAGGCTGTGGTGTGATGTCACGTTATGAAAAGTCGTCAGCAGATTAGATTGGTGGAAATATTATTCCCTCCACGGTGGTATGTGGAACTTGTTTTGCAGAGCCGGACACTATCCTTGTGTTCAAGATCCTCTATCGAGTATTCGGAGGAAGAACCCGCCTTGCAATGCCGAAGACAAATCTGTGCGCCAGACTTATCGTCATTGAAGCCTGGTTCAGGGGCTACTGAGGGAGTCCTGGATTAGGGGGTCTCCGGACAGCCGGATTATATCCTTTGGCCGGACTGTTGGACTATGAGATACAAGATTGAAGACTTCGTCTCGTGTCCGGATGGGACTCTCCTTGGCGTGGAAGGCAAGCTTGGCAATACGGATATGTAGATCTCCTCCCTTGTAACCGACTCTGTGTAACCCTAGCCCCCTCCGGTGTCTATATAAACCAGAGGGTTTAGTCCGTAGGACAACAACAATCATACCATAGGCAAGCTTCTAGGGTTTAGCCTCTACGATCTCGTGGTAGATCAACTCTTGTAATACTCATATCATCAAGATCAATCAAGCAGGAAGTAGGGTATTACCTCCATCGGGAGGGCCCGAACCTGGGTAAACATCGTGTCCCCTGCCTCCTGTTACCATCCGCCTTAGACGCACAGTTCGGGACCCCCTATCCAAGATCCGCCAGTTTTTGACACCGACACCCTTCATAAAGATTGCTTCTGAGGGTGTTCAGTTCAGGATCATGCCAACTCAATAACCATTCCCTCCTTGTGCATCAATAAAAATTTAGCGAACCTAGAACATGACCAAGAAGGCAAACATCCAAAAATTGACTATTACTGTCCATACAAGGGATTGACCAATCAATAGTTAACTTTTCGGCCTCGCTAAATATGAACATGCCAATTTTTTTGCATTAGACCAATTATTGCCCCTATAGAGTATGCTTCACGTGAGCAAGCAAATGGCGAGCTCGCCCATAGCTGGGGTAGTAGGATGTACCTTGGAACAAACCTTCGTCGGGATGGTCTACGTTTAATGTGGACGACTGACACGCCGTTGGCCAAAGCACTGGATGAGTTGGCATGGTGCGGAACAACACATGAGCCATCATTTTCTCAGCGTGTCATTTCCCTCGCTCATGTGGATTGCCAATGTAGGCGGAAATTGCAGTGTTTCTCGAGGGTACGTCCTTGGAGTTGTACCGGACGAACATATCGTTGATCACTGAACTAGATTGTGGAAGGAGCGGATGCTCTGTCAAATAGGAGTATCAGTAGATCTTTGTTGGTTGGCATGGTGGAGGAGACGAAGAGACTCCTGCATGGGATCCAACGGCATTGCTTTCTCTACGCCCGAAGATCGGTGAAATGGCGTTGTACACTGCATGGCTCAGATAGGACGTTGCTCCCAACGCTCGGTAGTCTGGTTAGGTGCTAGGCCAGATGATTTATGTAAAATCTATGAAAATGAGTCTAACATTATTCCTTAATTAATACAATCCCGTTTTACCGTGCAATTTTTTTTGCCCCCACCTTGTTTCTTAGGACATGTACAATGATCGATAAGATTGTCTTATCTTAAGCCTTACACACAATCTGGAGAACCCAATAAAAATATGATGTACAATGATTATTTTATAACCTTATCTCTAATAATTAAGACATCCCTAAAAATATAACAAGACATTGTTGGTAAGCGATCACCTCTTCATTAAAGGAAGGCAAGTCTTTTCTTCTCCTTTCTTTTTTCTCCACCTCAGTAGATATTCTAGTACATGACACTCGTAAGATAGCATTATTGCATATGCCTTAAAAAACATATGCCCTTAAAAATGCAAAAGATAGACAAAGTGATCGCCAGAGGTCAAGAAGATCTAACCCATCTTTGCTCGCCATGTGGCGCGAGAGGCACAGTTGAGATCCGGGGGCGTTTTTTTCTTGGTAAAGACGAAAATTCGTTGACTAAGCTTGACAGGCCTGCACATCGGCCCAAACAGCCTTCGATCGTCCCAGTGGCACACCACCGAAGCCCAAGAAAAGTATGGTCGCTACGCCCAGCTCCAACCATCGTTCACCCCCAATTCCACCTTCACCTCTCTCCACCGCCGGCGTCCGGCGACCGCCGCTTGCCGGCCTACCGGCGATGGACCGCGCATCCACTTGATGGATCCGTCGGCGGCAGGGCCTGCGCCACCACGGGCCGCCCCGGGCAGAGGGGCGGACCCAGCGGAGCGGCGCAGGCGGTGGTGCGGGATCACAGTCCGCGGGGCCCTCGTGATGCTCTTCCCCATCGCCGTGTCATTCCTCTTCTCCTTTATCTTCGGCATCGCTGGCCTCCTCCTCGGCGGGCTCTCCTCCAACGCGTCCGTCTCCATGCCCTCCACCTGCCGCATCCTCTCTACCGGTCGGCCACTGTACCTCCCCTTCCATCTCTTCCCTCCCGATTCACTCCCATGCTGTTCCCAGAGCTTAGGAATCTAACCGGGTGCTGAAGTTAGCATGCAAATTAGCTGCTTTGGTGTTTAGCGTGGAGAGCTTACTGCAAATTTTGTGATGTATATTCCATTTATGCACTTTACCATCTGCTCCACCAAGTCTAAGAGCTGCTTACGTATTCCCCACTTGATGTGTGCTGGATGCTGATTACACTGTGGCTCAGCTAGTGAGCTTAGGATGTGATTAGTTTTCCCTTTCGGTTTGGACCGAGCTGCGTTGATCTGTAGCCTGATGCGGTTGTTGGCGCATTGTAGGCCTGGACATTCGGTCATCTAAGGTTTGCGAGCTTGGACTGTTGAACTATAAAGCTAAGCATGTATTTTACCCCTCGAGTAATCGAAGATTCCGCTGCCATGATGACTATTACTGGGCTTCGGTTTTTGAGGTGAGAATTTATATTGTGATTCTACTTTGGTGTTTGTTTCTCTAGTGGAGCAGCTAAAAATGTTGTTCAAGCTGCTGGTTGGTTGTTTCACCTGCTTTATCTTCTTGTACCAGCACAGCGACATTTTATACATCATGTATTAACTACATTTTAGCTATTCTCACATTCAGCTCCTCTAGATTTGGGCTGTCTAATGTTTTTAACCGATAATGATATATACAGACCTTTGATTCTTTCTATGTGCTCTCAACTCCCAAATAAGGCAATAAATGATGAACAATTCTAGCTGCAGTTTCTAGTTTGTTGATAAAGGACCTGTAAAAAAAAGGACACGACATATTTACATTTCGAACATCAGCTTGCGGTCATGCACGTCTTTCAGTTTACTATTAGTATTCACGAGGATTACCGTATGTGTATTTAATTAATGGGTGGGGATATAGGTATCCAGAATTTAGGAGGGGAAAGGCCATGTGTGTGCAAAACAAAATTAAATAAGAAGATCATGATACTGAAACGCACAGCCTCTCATTTCTATTCCAAGTTAGTTTCACTTACTGAAGTAGCTTAACACCTTCCAAATTTATCATATCAAATAAAGAAGGTCATGAACATGTTCAATTCTCACATACCTCATAAGAAAATGACTTGTCAGCACTCAGCAGCAGACCATCGTTTTAGGTAGCTAATAAAGAAAGAAAACAGCAGGTGTTAACTCAACAAATCAAAGGATCGCCTGATAGGACGGACAAGTACTTGTATTGACTGCAAAATACTGCTCAAAGCTAACTCAACATAGCAACAAATGTGGGTATCATAGGCTTACGTTAGTGCCTAAGAGACTCAGGAGGCTGATACTCTTTGTTGTAAGCCAGAACATCACAAAATGTACTTCTCAGCACGGTAGAAAAATTTACGGGCAGAACCTACCATAGGTAATAGAAGCAAATGAGCAAACACCTAGTTACTCAGATGAGCAATCAGCACCTTATTGAGCAAGCTGGGGTCCTTGAAGAGAAGACGGGATTACAGAAGAGCCTTACGAGTGCATTCATCTGATCTTGTGGATCTGCGATGGCATCACCATGTGTGCCGCAGCCTACGCCGGTCTCACCTTCGCTTCCATGTGCACGACGGTTGCGAACTCAACAGTACTGCCACCTCTCCTATCGCTCCCGTGCGGGACCCTTGTAGAGGGCATGCTGTCGGTGCCTGTAACGCTGATGGCTGGGACGGCGTGCCGTGCTAGGACAGCGTCTCCGTTGGCGGGTTCGCCGTTG